GCAAAACTAATTTGAAAAAAAAAATCTAATGACTTATAGAATGAATTGGTATGATTCGGTTAAAATGTAATAATATCAGGTTTACAGAGAAAACCCTCCTACCTTATTATCTTTTAAAAATTACCTCAAAATAATTGTTTATTTCTAAAAATTGAATGCTTCAACTACATTTGACTGGAAAAGTATTGCATTTTGTATTACTGATTGATGTTTATTTTTTTTTCAATTAGTGGTTTGTTTTCTCTTTATAGTTTAGCTGATATAAAATGCTCTATACCTATCTTCCGAAAAGTTTTACGAGACTAATTAAACAATATGGACCCTAAACTGAAAGGAAAGGTAAAAAGAAAGAACATTTTGAGATGACTGAAATATATACATTTTCATGACAAACAGTAATTTTTTTCCCCTTTTTTGCATATACATGTATTGACAAAAGCAGAATTGTATACATTTTTAAATTATGGATTTAAATTTGTTAAATTTATTTTCCCTAAGAACAATCACTAAATCAGAGACTGATATATCTTTGTGCATTCTATGGAAAAAGATCTCAAGTATTAAGGCTTGTAGTTGATTTAAATAAGAGCAGTAACTTATATTAACAAACCCAGATATTAAAATTAACAACGAAGTAGAAATATTGGTGTACCAAAGAATATTCTAGTTGATTCAACCATATTTGCAATCATACATTAAGTAGCAGGGAAGACCTAGTTATGGGAAAATAATATCTTGTCAGCATTCATCTTTCAAATAAACGTAAAAATTCCAAATCTCTTTGGTGAAAACTGTGGTTGACTATTTTGTTCTTCTGCCTCAATGAGCCCAACTGCTTCACTGTAAGAAGAAGGCTTGTTTCGCGAAGATAGGCACAAGACCATAAAATAACCCCCTTGGTAAGCAAGCGCTGCTATCATTTTTTTTTCAGTGCAAAGCATGTATCCTACACAGTGATAAAGAACCCAAGAGATCTCTAGCTTAGTTTTTCCAATTTGATTGACTTTTCTCTTGTAATATCTGTCTGAATGAGCATAGCTCTAAGTTTTCAAAAACAGAATCTCATTACACTTTATTCTACTGGATCACAGAACCTTCTATAAGCAGAAATATCTTCCTTACACAGGTAATCATAGATCACCGTCAAATCATCCCTACTTTCACTCAGACAAAATAGATGATTTTAGCTTGTTAGTCTCATTATAAAATGAGCTTTCAAGGCCTTGAAACATAGTGCATCTTACTCTCCAATTACTGGCTGGAAAATAGAAATTACTCCTCTCAGCTGGCTACACAGCAAACTTTATATAGACTCTATCACAGTAATATTGTTGGGTTTCATTTATGTCTTCAGTGCTGCTAAGTTGGGTGTATTTATATCAGAGGCATAATAACCAGACAGTGGGGTTAAACGCCACCATAAACAGAGATGAAGTCTGAGCTACAAAGTGGTTCTAATGTACAAAATGGAAAAAAAAAAAATCCGCTTTATTCCCCAAAGACAACAGTATGTACTTATTGCACTATTTCACCATGATCCATCACTCATTAACTTAGCAGAAATCAATTTCTGAAAATTATTTAGGTTTTATTTTTCATTTAGAAATAAGTAAACCAGATAGTCCTGCTAAAGTGTTGTGAGAGGAGTATTGACTACTGAAGAAATGACTAAAAACGATTTACTTTAGGTATTTCTAAATTGTATATTATAAATATATATATCACGTACAGTATATTTATATCTGTGCTAACATATAGGCTGAAATTCAGAAAGACTTATCTCACTTTTGAAGCAAGACAATATTCCCTATTTCTAAAATTTCTATTAACATTTGAGTCTTATATATAAAAAAATAAAATGAGGAAACTTTACAAGTTCAATGTTTGTTATAGGAGCAAAAAAATGACATGCAGAAAGAAGAAAATGTAAGAATCTTGGGAAAAATCTAGTGCAATAATAAATGAAAATAGTTTTATCATCTGATATAGATATTAGAAATATTTCTCTGCGGATGATAAGTGTGACTAGAATAGCATCCATTTAAAAGAAATTACATTACATGTTCATCTCTGATGGCTATTGTGGGACTGATATTAGAGTAGTGCTATCTGCAATTTACCTTTTTTAACTAATAGCTCTTTGTTTTCTGCATGGATCCTTTTAAAATCTCTCATATGCTTTTAAGATATCACTTACCGTTTAATCACTTTCCACTTATTCTTCACTCTCCAAGCTCTTTAATCTCTAGTTACATTATGATTTTCTTCGTGTATATATTTGAGCATGTACACAGACTTGGTTTCTTACCAGATCTGTCTATCTTGACAGATATACAATATTTTGCTTTAATATTCAGTCTATTACCAGAATGATCAAGTTATTTGTAGGACTTTTAATCTGTTACATCCCATAGCGAAGGTAGTCACAGGATGTCCTATGACTTGTGGCATGGTCACAATGGAGAACTGGGACAGAAGAATTCTGGGACAGAAGGGATGGTGAAGTCAGAGGGCAAGAGAATGGAGATCTCAAAAAACTCCAGTTTAAATGCTCTGTTTCATTCACTAATACTGCCCTTTTTTTTTGTGAGCTAAAACTGTATAGTGGTGGGCAGCAAGCTGTTGTATGGCCTTTGAAATAAACCACAGGGAGCTGTATAGGTCTATGTACCATTTCCTTCAGGGCTATAAGCCATAACTGGCTACTCTTGGGATGATCAAACCACCATAGCACAGGGATGACTCCAAAAAAGAGTTCTGTAAATCAAATTATTCCAGAACAGTATATAAACAACTCTAAAACACTGGATGACCTCCAAAGAGGTGACTCCCTGTTTATAAGGCCTACCAGTACTTTTGCCCCAGCTTTGCTGCTTCAGATTTTTTGCCATGTGTGCTTAAATGCTGCGTTAAATGGGGATCTTAAAAGCTATGACTGCTGTAAACCTCTCAATTGTATTGCCAAAATTGGTGTCTTTTGTAACACTGCTATTACTGCTAATATAAAAGCAGATGAAACTATTAGCCACTTTGCAAAGAGATATTATTCACAGAAAGACATAAAATCCTTCTGAATATCCAAGGAAAAAGGGTAGTTTATTGAGTCTTTAGCATATGGATTTTGGATTAAGGTATAGCAAATATCTTTGTTGTGATGAAAGTGAAAGGTTAAATTAAATTCCAGGGATAAACTCAGGAGCAAAATTTGCAAATCCAGTGCTTCTCTGAGGCATGAAGCAATGTTTGTAAAGAACCAGCAGGCTGACTGGGGAGGAACTGAGTCAAAGCAACACTGAAGAGGTCATTTTCCCCTATCACTGTGATCACAATTACATCAGTGCTGTTAGGAGACTCATTCACTACAGAGTTCAGGAAAGAAGGAGTATTCAAAGTCTCTGAGTCCTTTTTGCTCCCCTCCTCCACTCAAGAGACAATCTCTTAGGCATGAAATGAAGAGATCATATAAACCTTTTCTCAAAGCATAAATGAAAGTCCAGCTCAAACAGCTGAGTATTTCTCAGTATTCTGCCCTGTACCCCTACATTTTGTAGGTCAGGTGGGAAGGAGCTGTGGAAAAAAAGAATTATTGCAAATAACTTTCCTTCTGTCAAACGGAGATATTCTATTGCTCAATACAAAAGACTGTGGAGAGGTCACGAACACCTGAAAACCAAAGTAACAAACTGCAAACTCTTTTTTGGACCTTTGTTATGCAACATGCTATACAATACCTGGATTACATGAAGTCTCCCAATTACAAATGCTTATACATGTATAGACTAGTAGCATGAAAGTGCTTTTCTGTCCACATTGTGCTTTCAAATGTGCTTCAGAAACTCAGTACAATTTGAACACAGGGAAAGTAAAATCATTACCTGCAATATCACTATCGCTAAGAAAATAAGAAAGCATTTTGTACTTGAGAAAGATAAAAGCTGTCATATGCATCCAAATGTACAAACACATGCAAAAAATAAAAAAAAAAAACCCTACTGCATACATTTTCTCTAGGATTCAGTACAAGAAAAATAATGTTTGAGCCTCTTTATATTTTCAAGTTACTCACTTTTTAAATTTTATGTACTAGCCATTCCAACCCCATGGCTTCACAGTTCTCCATGGTAAAAATTGGTGAGTGAATGCATAGTGACCATCTGCTGGCTTCCGTGATGCTGAGCTTCATTAGCACACTTATCACGGAATACATTTCTTGGTTGGGCTTATCAAGGTATTATGGAAAATTTATCAATGTGCTTTTCACTTCCTTCCATTCTCTCCTTGTTCCCTTCCTTCCTTATGACTTCCATTGTTATTAGCTGACTCCTGCAGTTGGTTCGTTGTACATAACCAGGTCCTACTGCGGTAGCCCAGCAATTCAGCACCAGCTAGCAAACAGGGGCATGAGAATCCATTTAACAAGTCTGCAGAGAGCTCTTTAGTTCCTGGGGGTGCAGCTGGGGTAAGCAAGGGGGGTCATGCCTTAAGGTCCATCTGGGTTTTTTTTGATTTTTCTAATTTTTTATAAGTTTTATAATAGTTATATAGTAGAATAGATTTTAGAAGCAGCAGCATTTATTCCCTTACCCTTAGCATAGTAACTACACACATTCCCCAACCCTATTACCCCATTCCATGCTCCCCATATCAAATATCCCCAGAATTCCAGTAGAAACGTTTAGTCTCTCTTTCAGATAGGCCTCTTCTATTTGAGGACATCTAATGCTGGGCTGAACCGCAAGAGTACAGTCAAGAACTGAGTAACCATGTGCCCCCTGTACCCTGAAGAAGATGAATATCATGAAGAAAAGGGTCTCAAAGACCCCAGCCCCAATTCCTAAAGGGCAGGACCAGGGATGGACCAGGGAAAAAGCCAGGGGGAGGTAAAATCTGGGATTGGACAGAGAATATTATAAATTATAACATCTGTAACAGAAGCAGCATGCCTCTTATAACCAACCCTATGCCTTAGAGGCACAAATTAATCCCTTTCCTTATCTCACCTTCAAAACTAGGTTGTCTCGGAGTTTTTTCTCCCTGAGTTTTCTTTTAGGCATCAGGGGGAGCGGTTCACCTTCTCCTTGCTTCCCCAGCCCAAAGGGACCTTTCAGGGTTCAAGCATCTTGCAGGCTGCACCGGAGAGTTTGCTGGAGATAAGGGACTCCCAGCTGCCTGGTTTCCAGAAGGCTGATGCTGAAATGGTCAAAAACATCAGGAAGATCTTTTTGATATGCTGAGGAGGGATATAGGGTAGTGCAAGGGGAGGGTGGGCAGCACTCCCCCTCTGTGATTCCAGACCGCAATGTTTGAAACCTGTGCTGGGCAGACAGATATCCTACTCTGTGGTCTGCCGGAGAGGGCAGAGGAGTTGCATCAGGATGCATCAGTGCGCAACCTATTTCTCTTTACCAAGAAATACCCAGGGATATGATTAACAATAATATAAGTTGCACCCATAAAGTCAGAGGGCTTTGATACTGTGATATCTCTTTCTCTTGCGAGAAATCTGGAAGGTGAATGTGGCTTGCAAACTCAGAAAGAAGAAGAAATCTAAGGAGAGTCCAGCCAGCATTGAATCTATATGTTTGGACTTCTACAGAAAAAAGATTGATAGTTCAAAAAATACAGATGTCATTTTAAAAGTGCAATGGAAAGGCACATGGTACTTGAGACTTAGGAGTTCACATTTAGGGTAACCTTCCCTTGGAGAAACTTGGGCAAAGCATTCCAAACAACTGCCATTCCATGTGCTTATTATACTCAGTCATCAGTACCAGAGACTAGTCACTAAAGTGGGTTTTTAAAGGAATTTTTCTCATTAGTGGGACATTTTTATTTTTGTTGCACTAACAAGCAAGTATATCAGAGATTCACATAGGAAACACAGTGTCTGGGTCTTTAAACCTGATCAGGTAACGTCACAACACCTACACAATTTCACAGAAGCTATGAAAAGAATAAATGGCATTGGAAAAAGCCCCATTTCTTACAAAATTAGAAACATCTGACAGAATTACTAAAATATATACACAGAAACATCATGTATTCAGAACTGATTTTGGATCATATGACGTAAAAATAGCTTCATGTATGAGCAACTAAACCAAAATTTGTTAAAATTCTGGGATGAATAGCTGAGGATAGAAGACTGCACAGGTAGCAGTTAAAATTGTTAGGCCTTTTAAAGATTACCTGTGATACTAAAACTAATTGTCTACACGCCAGCCTCCTTGAGTTGGTTCCTGTAAGAAGAAAAGGGAAACATCCAGCCATTTATCTCACCCAACATGTAAATGTCCTATGTAAATTAAAATATTGATCCTTACTCTAGGTTGGTTCAGCATTTCCTATTCCACCTAAAATTTCACATAGAAGTGGCCTCAGTAAGTGAATGTACTAAGATAATTATGAAATTCATATTTTATTTCTTCCTATACGTTTAAAAGGTTTTAATGTATTAGCTTTCAGGTTTGAAGGCTATTTGTTTTCACATTTCTTAATACTGTTCTCTATTTTCAAAAGTTCAGAACGGATAGGAATCAGGGAAGGGTTTTACCAGACTCTTCAATACCTCAATTGTCAACTTTGAAATAGGTAAATAATATTAATCTCAAATAAAAAAACCATTAGCACTGGATCTGATCTATTTGGGGTAAGAAAGGTGCACAAGAAGGTCATTCTGAATGCCAGTGGTATGGTACTTATGTGCAGGTGTAACAGATATGCTGAGATGGGTCCATTTATTGATGGTGGAATTTGTCTGTCAAAGGTGGATGTCAACATTCAACCAACACGTGGATTCAGCTGGGAAGAAAACAAACACTAGAGAGCGTAAGTACTGCATACAATGGAGCTAATTGTTTGTGATTCTAATGTGGTGTACTGTTAGAGATGGCAACTAAGAGATGAAAGGTAGAAGGAATTCAGTAGATAAACTGTACTTCTGGAAGTGAACTTCTGAAGAGATGCCTGATAATATCATCCATGCTTTCAATTTGGCTGGCAAAGTTCATGGTGAAGGAGTGAGGTCAGTAGGAGCAGATCAGAGCAAGAATTTTCATTTGATTTCTTTTATGGCAGACTACGTTTCAAATATAAAAATGGGAGGAGTAGCCCTATAGGTTACTAATCTGTGCTAGTAAATTAAACAGTCTCTGGAATGTCACTGAGAAGAGAGTCACAGCTCTCCAAACTCTAACCTACAAAAATTATTCACATCAACCAATGCATTCTCAAGGACTTCATGGGTGCCATACAGAAGTTGGACTTTCCAATGGCCATAGGTAGTAGTTTGTTTGGGGGCAGTCAATCCTCCAGTTGTGGAGGACAGCAGCATTTACACACTGAGTTTGTTAGCATAGATATAGTCGAAGTGCCCCTGTTACTAATAAATTCTGGGCTGCCTCTTACTTTCATGTCTCTACCGTTCTGAGTCTCTGACACAGCATTTTATCCTCATGTGTTGACAAGAGGCATGAAATGTTGCTCTGAAATTCTGTGTAGACTTAAGCACTGTATTTAGAAAGCATGCTTATTTCAGTCTCCTTTTTTAGGTTTATTACAGGAAAGCAAGGTTTTGTGAATAATCTTTTTAACACATCAGTTCTTCACAGCTGGAAGAGAAAGTTTTCAGGTATTAGTATGTATGGGACAGTAATTTTAGCTGCATTTCATGTTTATTGTGTAGGATTCTGGGAATCTGAGAAACAGATGAGGATTCACTAAAAAAGACAAAAAGAATTCTAACAAAGAGAACAGTCAGAACAACTTTTGCAGTTCTTGGAAGCAGTGTGGCATGCACATTGATTAGATATATTAAAGGCATCCCTAGATGCCAATAGACCAATTGGAAACTATTCGCAAAACTCCAAGACATTAAAGGTAATTACAAAAATTTAAAAAAAAAAAGGCAAAAAAAATCAAAACTTTTACTAGGAAGGTGTAAATTTCAATTACTGGTACCTATACCACTTTGGAGCTAATACACATATGTGATCTTAAGAGATCTAACCACAGAGTGGTTGTGGTTTTGGTGGTAAATAAGTGGTGTCAGGTATGCTTTTCACTCAGATAGAACCACTCAAATGGGGGCTGGGCCCTTAACACCTTCTGCTACACAGTGGCTTTAAAAATCACAGTCCCTAATACTTGATGAGTCTGCCTTCATATCTGGACGGGTGAAATTGGCCTTGGGTAGAAGAAACAATTGTCACACTTCCTAAGTAAGCAAAAGGACAAAATTTGAAGGCTCACGTGGATAAACTTGCTTTATTACCAGGAAAATTCAATGTCAATTCATGTTACAAGTATATCAGAAGTGCACTGATGAAAACTGTCTTCATCTAATCAATAACCTTGTGCTGGCTTTTCATAGTCCTCATGTTCAGCAGTATGAATTACCCAGAAACACCATCTATTGTAAGGAAGATAGGAAAGCTATGTGATTCACAGCATCCAGCACATAATGTATTTTGTCATTTCTTCACGGATATTTCAGGTCTGCTTAGGAAGGTATTTAGGAAGGACCAGCTAACTACCATGAGCCTATTCAAACACAGGTGTTTAAAATCTTGAATTCTAGCTTTGCTCTTAAAAATGACTGAAATGTCTAGAGTTACAACATAAAACTGTAATTCGTATCTTTGAAATAGCTTGATTTTGTACTAACTAGTGTTCAGGCAATTCAACTGCATTTATTCAAAAAGGTTTAAAAGAAATTGGAGGGGATGATTCACAAAGGATTTGGTTTGCTTTTCTAATTGAAAATTTCAATGCAGTTAATACTTTTCACTTCTTGTCCACTCTAATCTTATTTATTGTGCCTCTGACACCTTTCATTATCCTTCCCCTGACTCATTGTTTTAGATGAAACAGTTCTACTGCTTTAACATTGAAAATCATATTATTTCTTGCTATCAATGTTAACTTGCTAACTTCCTGTGCCTTTATATATACAAATTAAAGAGTGGATTATCATTAATTATGCACTATAATTTTTCCTGGCAACAGTCTGAAAGTGACAAAACATTTGCTTTTGTCATAGTTCTATTAAATGAATCCAAATTGAGCTGCTGAAATTTATGACACTTAACTGTGTTTTTAATTTGCAGCAGTGGGTCAGGATCATGACAGTGATTTTATTTTATTTTGCACTTTATTTTCAGCGATACTTGCAAGGATGTTAATTAAATTGTTTGAACTAAACTGTTTTTATCATTTCAACGACCTATATTTAGTGCATATTAAGGAGAGATTTCTTGTTAACATTACTTAGTTTTCTAATGGTTCAGTTTAATAATGGAAAAAGCTCTACACTAGAAAAGACAACTGCTTCAACCAGAGCCATAATGAGTCAACTTTTCCTTAGAAAAGGAAACAAAATTTACAGCACATTCAAAGAATAGTTGTGGGAAACATCTAAGTATTTGGAATTTTCACATATGCATATTAGCTCTGGACATGAAAACTACTTTTCCATTTATCAAGAACATTACTGAGGATTTTCCATCCCAAATGACAGCCATCATAAACCCTATCTCTACTCTGAGAAAACCATATAAGTCATAATAAGCAACCTATAAGTACAAACTTATGAAAGAAACTTTAAAATAGTGGCTTATCTCAGTAATGTGGCAGATGTGCCCAGCAGAATCTGAGTGATGAGGTCTGGTTTGGCACTCGACTGCCCTTGTGTAAAGCTTTCCTCACTCAGTGCCCCTCGTGGGGAGACACACAACTCAGCAAAGACATTGTGAATGAGGACTTGCAAAATTATCCACAGTGATGTGGATAAATAAAGGTGAAGTGCAGACAGTGCTTCAACCCCCAGGCAGTCTGAGAGGGGCAGCCAGGGTTTCCTGCAGCATGCAGATTCCTCTACAGCTTCTAGATAAATATTTTGAGAGAAGCAAAACCAAGGGCATTTTTAAGCTATTCCCCATGTTCACTCTTACACTAGCGTGAGTTTTGCAAACAAGACTTGGGTATGCCAACAAATGCTGGGTTAAGAAGAGCTTGAATTATTTATACAGACATTATATATTGTGTAGTTGTATTAATACCTTTATATATTTAATCAAGGCAATTACTGATGTGATAATAAACATATGAAACCAGGTTAAAATATAACTGTATTGTTATGCGGGTATTAATATAATTACACGAATATATCATTTTTGGCCAATTCAAATGAACAAAAAGATAAAAAAATTTCTATTTTTATACATGACAAACAAGTTAGTAAATCTCATTCAGGAAAATATCAAATTCCAACAAAAACATATTTTTTCTAAGGAAAATATATTTAATAACTTCTTTTGAGTGTTAAGCATGTGAGTTAGTTTTTTGCTCAAAATGACAAAAAGACCGCAAGCCCATCCTTCTGACCTGTGACTGTTTATGAGCTCCAGTGGCTGTAATGCTTTGTTCTTAATTAGATATACAAGAGGAGTTAATTAAGAATAAATTAAGAAAATTACATATTACTAAAAAACAAGGTGAAATACTAACCAGAGATAGAAAATTTGTGTTCATCTGTGCTCTACAGGAATCAGAGATTGCTAAACTTGTATAATATAAAAAGAGGAAAACAACATTTAATCGTGTTCAAGTTTTTCTTTTCTTTATGCAGTACTTACAGGTGTCAGAATAAAATATATTTAATATATTTTTAATTTGGTATACGAAAATAAATGAGCATCTCTGGATCAATTGACCTCTCACCTTGGATTCTTATTTCTGAACACTGACAAAATAAATTAAAATATTTCTTGCAGGTAAATGGTAACAGTCTTTAATAAAGGGTTGCAACTCCTATGCAGTAGTAGCTGTCTAGTTTCTACAAGTGTGTTTAAAATATTCTTTGCCCTCTCCATACTCCCTAGTATCTTAATTTCATATTTTCTATTGGTACTTTCAAGTTATTCTGTCATTTTAACATTCAGCACTTGAGGCTAGAAATAGAATAATACATTAACAAAGTGCATAATGGTTTCATGAAATGGTCAGATGCTAGTCAATGGTCTTTGGCACTGAACACTCCTTTTTCCACTGAACTACAAAATTCTACCTAGATTCTGTTTATAGAAATGTAGTGCACTTTATCTTTTTTTTTCCTCCCACAGCAATAGTAATTTTACTTTGATCTCATAGCAGCCAAACTACTAAATGTAAGCATGCTCATAAGCAAGGTACAAGGCAGGCACAGCCTATGATTTCTAGTAGAAGGTCATAACCCAGATTTTT